GATGGGGATAGGGAAGTAAAATGTGGACACAAACCCCTCATGCGGCAACGGGAACGGCGCGAACACCCCGTCCACCCCAAATCGTGAGAGGTTCGTTATGCGGAGACTTACCTGACATTAATTAGATACTGGGCCAAGCTGATGCTGGCTGCAGAGCCGGTGATGGTGACCTGCCGGTCAGTGGAGCCTTCCACGGGGTTGGCAATTTTGATCTGCGCCCCCGACATCTGGCGGATCTCATTGATTTTGGCGCCCTGGCGCCCGATGATGCAGCCAATCAACTTGGGAGGGGGGAGAAAAACAGCTTCGTTAGTGGCAAAGTTGAGTATTAACCCATCCTCTTCCTCCCCTGTTGTGCCTGTCCCTCTTGGGGGGGGCCCTAAGAGGCAGAAAGGGGGCCCTAAGAGGCAGAAAGGGGGCCCTAAGAGGCAGAAAGGGGGCCCTAAGAGGCAGAAAGGGGGCCCTAAGAGGCAGAAAGGGGGCTAAGGGTCAGAAAGGGGGCCCTAAGGGGCAGAAAGGGTGGTTTTGGCCTTCAATCTGGCCCAAAAAGGGCAGAAAGGGTGGCCTAAGAGGCAGAAAGGGCGGCCCTAAGAGGCAGAAAGGGGGGTTTTTGGCCTTCAATCTGGCCCAAAAAGGGGGAGAAGGGATGCGGGTCCAGCTGAGGGACCCAAGGAGGGAATTTGGGGTGTAGCTACGAGCCCTCAAAGTCAAAAATGAGCAACCCCACACCCTATTTTGGTAGGGAAAAAGAAGGGGGGAGACCCCAGGGACCCCGTGCGGATACTCACATCGTTTGGAATGGTGAGTTCGTGAGAGGTGGTTTGAGCGGAGGCATCCAAACCTGCTTAGAGATGGGGCGGGGGAGAAAAAGAAGTGGAATTTGGGGTGTAGCTACGAGCCCTCAAAGTCAAAAATGAGCAACCCCACACCCTATTTTGGTAGGGAAAAAGAAGGGGGGAGACCCCAGGGACCCCGTGCGGATACTCACATCGTTTGGAATGGTGAGTTCGTGAGAGGTGGTTTGAGCGGAGGCATCCAAACCTGCTTAGAGATGGGGCGGGGGAGAAAAAGAAGCGGGAGAAGTTGAGGGGGACGTGGGGGGACTTGGGGGGCGCAGCACCGAGCGCAGCAGCGTTTTTGGCTTCACGGCTCCCTGGCCGATGCGTTTACACAGCGGGAGGGGAAGGGCAGAGCAAGCTGTGAGGTTACCCCTCCGCTCCCCCTGCTTTCACCCCCCCAAAAGGGCTTTGCTCACCCCAATTTCTCTCCCACCCCACACACATCGACCCCCAGATTGTCACCACAGGGTCTTCCGTCCGGGGGACCGGTCCCAGAGCAGCGTTTTTGGCTCCGTTTGGCTCCATCATTGGCTTTTTTAAGGCCTATGCTACCCAACCCTTGTCCTCCTCCTCCTCTTCCTCCTCCTGCGAGGCCTCACCTCTGGGATGTGTGCATTAAAATGGATTCTTTTGGATTTTTAAGCAGTTTTTTCCCCCCTTCCCAGCTCACTCCGTGCCTCAAGGGCCTTGGCAAGGGCACAGCAGCCTGGGGATGCAGTGGGGGCTGTGTGTGTGTGTGTCCCCCTCAATTAAAGAGGGGGGTCTCGGTCCCCTACCATAAACCTGCTCCAGCAGCTCCTCAGGCAATGGGAATTGCGTGGGTTTGAGGGGTAAAATGAGGGGCTGGGGGGGTCACCGAGCACCCCAAAAAAAGTCCTGCTGCTCTCCACTGACCTTTCCTGGGGCAGTCGGCACCTCCAGCCCTTTCTAAGGCTCCCCTGCCCCCCCCCTTTCCCCTCCCATCCGTGCACAAAGGCGGGCAGCAACTGAAGAGGGAGCACGAGACCCCGGGTCAGGATGAATATACACGATAAGAATATAACTACAGATTTTGTGTTTCAATCATTACCCCAATAGCCTTTCACCTCTGGAGAGCAGGATTCAATGCCTGTTAAGATACAAGTGACAATGAGTTCGGCTGTCTCAAGTTTAGAGCCCTCAAACGGATTCTTTGGGGTTGTTTTGTGGTTGGTTTTGGTTGGGTTTTTTTTTTGTAGCCGCCTTAGCAAATCTACAGCGAAATCTGGGACAACTTCAACAGTTGCCTGCTCAGGACTGGAGTAGCCGGAGGGGAGAGAGAGGGTGCTGCAGGGTTGGTTTTTTTTTTGGGGGGGGGAATCTCCCCGTGCATTGGCAGAGCTGTGGAGGATGGGGGTGAAGAGGAAAAGCAGCGTGGAGGCCCTGCCTGCTCCGGAGTTTGGTTTTCGGGTTGCTTTGCCTACCCCTCTGCAGCCTCCCCCCTGCGACAAGCAGAGGCTGGCACCAATTGCCCCCAGAGACACCATGAGAAGAAATCATTACCTGGCCAGGCTGGGGGGGGGTTTTTTGGGGGTGTTTTGAGAGCACGAGACCCAGCAGAGGCCCCGTTTAAAGAGAGGGAGCCGAGGGGCAGCTCCCGGGCTGGCCTTTGGCCCACGCTAGCGTAACAAGAAGAGAGAAAGGAGTTTCCATACCACTGAATCCAGTGTTGCCATGAGACATTGGAAAGTGTGACTGTTGCATTGCCAACTGGTGCAGCTTGGTCAGCTAGAGGTGGAGGGAAGGGGAAGGGGGGAAAAAAACAACACAAGGAGAGAGGAAAAAAACAAAAAAGAGAAAGAAAGAGGAAAAAAAAAACAAAACAAGGCTGATGTTAGCCATTTCCCAAACATACCACTGAATCCAGTGTTGCCATGAGACATTGGAAAGTGTGACTGTTGCATTGCCAACTGGTGCAGCTTGGTCAGCTAGAGGTGGAGGGAAGGGGAAGGGGGGAAAAAAACAACACAAGGAGAGAGGAAAAAAACAAAAAAGAGAAAGAAAGAGGAAAAAAAAAACAAAACAAGGCTGATGTTAGCCATTTCCCAAAGGTCGAGCAGGG